ATGGATCACTAGGACTTCATCTACGGAGCCCTGCCCCTCCCCTGGGGAGAAGGGACGCTGCACCGAGGCCAAGATCTAAACAAGTGGCCTCCCTAGGTCCCCACTCCGTCTACAGCTATGAAGTCATAGCTTCTGTCCAGTCCTAGTTATGCATGACAGTCTAAGCTTCACAGAATTCCAAGGTTCATCCTGGATCTCGAGTTTTCATCCTGAAGGCTTTCGTGTCACCTAAAACAATAGTGGTAAACACACTTGAATGCTTGTATCTCTTACTAATCCAGCCAGTTGTCACTTCACTTGAGTGACCTCAGTGAAGAAGTCCTGTGTTACCCCTATAATAGCATAGATCATCTCAGGTACCACAGGATGGGTTTTTCAAGATGCTGCTCTAACAGGGCCCAAAGCAGAATTGTAGGCCACAGGTTCTCAGAATTGACTGTACGCTGTAATTACCTGGAGAGTTGCTTTTTGTTTTTTTAAACACTGAGGCATGGACTCTAATCTGAGATTCAAAGTACATTTGCTTGATGGTGGCCTGGACATATTAGTTGCCCAGTGTAGCCAAATTTAAGAAGCACTTGTGATGGGCGTGCTTCCAGTGTGATCCTAAGCCAGGCAGCACCCATGGCACGTGGAAAATAGAAATACGAACTCCGGCCCCACCCTGAAACCTGCTGCATCAGGAATGTGGGGTGTGGGTCTGGTAGTTCTGAAGAAGCCCACCAAGTGGTCCTGAAGCGTACTAAGGCTTGAGAATAACCACCTGGAGGACAGGGGGGTGGGACGGTAAATGGATGGGCACTGGAACCAGGAAGCCCAGGTACCATAGATAATTAGAATACTTTGTTGTCTTAACCCACTTTTAGGGAATTTACATAATTTGCAAAACACCACGTATTCTTTTCTCGGGAAGGTGTGTCAAGCAGAAGCTGCTCTTACCAGCTGGACTCAGAACTGAGAGAATCCCCTTAGCAGAGACAATGTCGAGAGCAGCGGGGTCGAACCTATGGCACAGCACACATTATGGCTTTTCTTTTAAGACAAAAGACGTTCATGTTGGCCGGGGATTTAGCTCAGTGGTTCTGCTGAC